TACAAAACTGCCCACAGTCATGTTTTATCAAAGAAATATCATTTGAAATGTATATAAGATTTATCCCTAATAGAAACTTTACCAGAAATCTTAAACCATATATAAATGTTTTGCTTTTGTTATTTTAATTAACTTCAATCAAATAGTCCTCATTTAACAAGAAGTAACCCGCTACACTAAAGGCCTGTAAAATATCATCAATAGTGTGAAAAGTTTATGATCCGTGTTGAATTAAGATCCCTTGTAATATTTTCCATTCATGTAATAAAAGACAACCCTGTTTTGTCTCAGACCAAAAACTGTAAATTATGATTATGAGAAATGTTTAGGCATCCGATCAACAATTACACATAGAACTAGATTCTTTTTTATTCTGTCAATCCGTTGGACCCGCTTTAATCAGTTCCATAATTGCTCATTTGTAAATCCAAATTTAAACCAATTTTTTTAATGTATTCAATTCAGAATATTCAGTATTACTTTAGAAACTCATTCAAATAGTTAAAACATTTGTGAATTTTGATTTAACCTCTTTTATATTTTGCTGAAGCCCAGAACTGAAACATTTCTCAATAGATTAACTCAGAATTTGCTTGAATAGAGTAATTCCATGCATCTCCCCCTGTTTCTGTATCAGACACTGTTTAGTGTTTCGGTACAGAAACTCCTAAGAAACCTACGCAAATCATTTAGCCCAAATTTGCTTTCATTGCTAACTGTAACAGTTGGATGCAATTTAACCAGGGTGTTTACACCTCAGTGAAAGAATTTAACAGTTGATTGAGAAAATGTGCAGTAAACCCTTAATTTGGTTGAGTAATTTTCCAAAGAGTAGATTTTCCTAAGATTTGAAATGGATTCCAAATAAAGTTAAGTCATAACTTGAAATAATAGTCCTTATATTTGTAGCCACTGTAATTTGAACCAACTAGAACTTAGACCATCCTCTTTTGCATTTGAAGTGTGGTCGGATGTGCTTTTGTAAATCAGGAAATTAACAATTTTACCGTACTTTTATCCTGTTTCAATTGTTGTCCTGCTGGAGGAGAGAAACATATTAGCCAGATGTTGGACAATCAGAGTTATAATCATTCAGGCAAACAATATTTCTGTAAACTGCAGAGAGTTCTGACACCCTGCTGCACCGTTAAACTTATCCTGGGGGTCAAATAGCAGAGGTCAGAGTGCAAAGGCAGTAGATAATGAATTTGCTGTAAATACATGAAGGTGAGAAAAAGTGGCATCACACAATTCAAAAATTCTAGAAAAACCATTAAGAGCTACAAGGTTTTGTTGGCAGCCATTTTGTCTCCAACCTGTAGACTGAGGAAAATCTCAGGACCAACCATGGCAACAAACAGGACCGCCTCCGAGTCTCAGTCCGACTTTACATGTGATGTTCCATTTGCTCCATCAGAATCTGTCCAGGGCAGCATTCAGTCCCGCTGTGCAGAAAAATCTGGACAAAGTATGTGTCCCCCCTTGTGTGGGAGAGGGAATACGGAGAGATACAGCAGATGAATCATTGTTTTCAAACCTCCGTCTCACGTCGGGCAGAAGCTGCTGGTCTTTTCTGCCATAGGAGACCCTCAGAAACCACGCCTGGGTCTCATCCTTTAGCCAGGTGTTTCCTCAGAGATCAGAGTCAGACATCCAATCCGAGATCCTGTAAGCTGCACTCCGCCTTCAGGTGACAACAGGAAAAATCAATCCAGCCTCACTGACCTCTGTAGAAGGTGTAAGAATCGTCCAGTAGGTCTTTGTTCTCAAACAGCAGTCCAGCAGAAGATGGCACAATTCATGTGTAGAAAGTGCAAATGTCCAAGTCAGCGTGGCTAAGAACAGCGGAGGCCTGATGCCGAAGCCAGGCGATCCCCCTCTCATTACCTCATTGCACGGTTCTGAACCTGCAAAACCTGGCCCCTACAGTCCGTCAGTCCACAGGAAGCAGAACTGCTAGAGTAAAACACAAAGTAAATTAAGAAAATAAAAGTGTATGCCACCTTTTGCTCACATAATTATAAATTAAATGTCTTTTCTTTAGCTTGTGATGTAGATGAAGAGTTGGCTCTTTGTTTCCTTTTTTTTGTTTCAGCCAGGCTCAGGGTCACTGGAGCTGCTCAGATAAGGTCCACTGCCTCAGTCTCTGAGCTCCAAAGAAAAGATAAAATAGAAATGCGTTAAGATGATTCACCCTCAGATGTTTCAGAATCAACCGATTGTGGAATCAACTCCTATCAAAAATTAAACTCAAAAATTATTAAAAATTTAAACCAAATTTAGTATTTCAGCTACATACACTTTTCAGAAATTGGTTAATCAAATGTATATATAAAATAATTAAGTTAATAGTGTCCAATTCTACACAAAAGCATCCTTGTGCTAGTGCCACGCTTTAAGACAACTAGTTAAATTTCCTTAATAATTTAGGTCAAAAAGAAAACTGTAATCAAATATTCTCCATACCATTAATGAAAATGTTACCATTATCCTGATAATTTTCAAAACTGCTGAGTGTTGTATTTATGTATGGTTTTCTTTTTAGAATTTTAAAAGTTGTTCACATTTTATCTGAATTTTTCCCATGTCCCCTCAGGGGCTCCGTAGAAGTTTATAGGACTTTTAACCAAAATTTTCTCAATGATAACAATTACATCCAACTGTAACTTTATACAATTAAAATTAGAGGTGATGCAGGGAATTCATCAATATTTAAATAAACATGGCATAGATAATGATTGAAGCTATTCAATTTTAAATTACCGATTTTAATTTAGTAAGATCTTCTATACACTGAAAGAAATAACTCTTTGGATTAACATTAAAAAAATCATGGAAAGATTTTCCACCTGATTACTTTGCTTTATTTCAGCACTATGTAATTCTGTTACTCCAATTTAAAGCAAATGTGTTGGCTCAACTTAACTTTTGTGGTTGATTCAACTTATTTACTTTAGGTGGACCCAAT